TAATGCTTCATTTCTTTTCTTTCTTTCTTTTTTTTTTTTTCTTTAGAGAGGTTTTTGCTATAGGGCGCGTGCACTTTCCAGAAAGACAGTGAGAAAGAAAGTGAGAAATCACCCCCAGGGGGGGTGGCCATGCTACAATCCCCTCTCCATTCTCCTCTCAGGATCTTGGGCAGGCACGCACGCACACATACCTGGTGTGAGTTTAAGCCACCAGGTTTGGGACTCGAATTGTGGTCGACTGCATGGGAGTCCAGCCACATAGCCCTTATGCCAACTGCTGGTCCCAAGGCTCTACTTCTTATAGGTTTCACCACCTCCAAGCACCATTACACTGAAGACAAGATTTCAGAACATGAAACTTTGTAGGACAAACCATTGTCCAAACTATAACAAATACCAATGCTTATTCATTCATTCTTTTTTTTTTTTTTTAAAGTTTATTGGCCTAGCCACTGTGGTGCAGGAGTGAAGCAAATACCCTGCAAGACTGGAAGCCATATGACTGACCAAGAGTTTGGATCCTCAGGTCAACCTGAAAACAGGCTGGAAGTGTGCATAGGTGCCCAGGATTATGAAGAATTGGAGGACTGGGGAAATTGATCCATTGGTTTTTTTCATAATATGCATTTTCTTGTTGTTTAATTTGCTGTAGGGTACATGTACTTGCCAGAGAGAGAGAAAGAAAGAGAGTGAGAAATCCTATGAGGGGTGAGGTAGGGGAAATGACCAGGCCATAATCCCTTCTCCTCTCTTCACCTCTATGGACATTGGGCATGTACACACATGTGTCAGCATGTTTTTCAAGCCACCAGGTCCAGGACTCAAATCGTGTATTCAGTCATATGGGATCCAGCTGTCTTAACCACCACACCACCTGCCATGCCCCTCCAAATACTTTTGAAGCCCCCCTCTCCCTGAGTGGTTACATTTTCAAGGCCTCTAAAGTGTGTAAGATTCTTTTTTTTTTAAATCATCATAATCTTGTTTATATTACATTGAATCACATATACCTTTCAGTGTATTACATTTCTTTTCCCAGAGGGAATACCATGCATATCAGTCAATACAGAGACATTAAAATCCCCATTTCATCATCCAATAGCTTTTCATTATTTTTCCCAATCATCGTTATCATTATTATTATTCCAATTATTTTTTAAACAGTCATCACTATTTCTCATTTTGCTTGTAAAAAGACTTTACCCAACATAAAATACTTCTCAGACCAATCCAGTTGAGAATACTGTACACATCATCAACAGGTAATAAGCCATATCTGTGTCCTACTAATGTGATGCCTCTCTATTTATTCTCTTGCTGTCTTTCTCTATCCTCTTCTCTTCTCCCACCCCATTCCACACTGTCTTATCCTCGTTAACTATTTTCACTGCTTTTATGTCCTCTAATATTTCTATCTCTACCATAGAGTGTGGATAGTCAGTATATATTAAGTGGATACATATAATATTGTTCTTTCATATCTTGGTTTACTTCACTCAGCAATAGATCCTCCATATCTAACCACTTTCTATCAAATGCCGGGGTCTTGTTGTTTTTTATAGCTGAGTAGTATTCCACAGATTACATATGCCACACTTTTTCAATCCATTCATCTGTTTGTGGACATTGGGGTTGATTACATGTCTTGGCGATCGTGAATACTGCTGCAATAAACACTGATGTGCAAGCACTTTTCTGACTGAGCATTCTCCTGTCCTTTGGGTAGATATCCAGAAGCAGGATTGCTGGGTCAAATGGTAGTTCTATTTGTAGATCTTTGAGGGACCTCCACATTGTTCTCCACAGTGGCTGAACCAGTTTACATTCCCACCAACAGTGTAGGAGAGTTCCCTTTTCACCACATCCCACCAACACTTATCACATTTTATATTTTTAATCATTGTCATTCTGACAGGGGTTAGGTGATATCTTATTGTGGTTTTTATCTGCATCTCCCTTATGATGAGGGATGTTGAGCATTTCCTCATATGCTTTTTGGCTGTTCGTATGTCTTCCTTAGAGAGATTTTTGTTCAGCTC